GAATCTGCTGTGGTGGCGTTTGGGGTAACTGTACAGTAGGCTCCCGGGCGCTCTCTAGGAACTGAGAAGGAGCGATATCACCATCAGGGGTGAGAAATTCAATAGAAACATCGGGGCTTGTCTCGCATTTTCTACTGGACTGGAACAAAACGAAGTAGATTTCTCCAAGAGAGAAATTTACATCGAGACTGGTGTACTGGATGATCTCGTCTAGCAGCGGGTCCCTAGTGGTAGAGCTCGCTGATGCCGCAGGCCCAATCTTTTTCACTTCCTTGTTGATGAAATTGGATATGGACATTGAGCTACGGGAGTTCGTCTGTGTGAGTCTACCAGCCGGTTCCTTTTGCTCCGGCAGGGGAATACTTGTGGCCACCCTTAAGGCGAGGAAAATGCGATCCTCTGAAACATTAACGAGGATCGCAGGCAAGTCGATGTCCACCTTAATATTTGGAAGACGCGGATCATTGTCAACCACACAAAGTGCGGCAGTTACTTTGAGGGAGACGGGACGCAAAACGTGCATCTCCGTTGAGTTTGCTTCCGTTAGCGCATTTTGCCACGGCTCTCCAGCTTGCACCACCAGCATCTGCACATCGTCAACGGCGACTGTAAACCTGTCATATGCATTTTCCATCACCGTCTTGAGTATTTCATCCTTATTCTCGAAGGATGAGAAAAGATTATGCAGCTTAGCCGACTCCTTACGTGGTTGGCTGGAGAGGTGCACCTGGCCCATGCTAACTACTAGCAGGGATGTATTGTCCGCCTCGTAGACTCCTTTATGTGGTACGACCAGGATGTTTGGCATTAACAGGATGTCCACATCCAGCACTGCCTTCTTGTCGATCATGTACTGCATTCCAGTGGCTGAGCGCTCCTTAAAGTTGGAAATTTTCGAGCTGGCCGCATCCTCGAACTTAGAGAGTGTGACATCACCAGGCGGTTGGAATGCACTGATAAGAGCCAGTATGGTTGGCGCATCATACGTTATCTGTAACGGACGCGCAACAACCTTCACTCGCTGGTCGCACAACTTGTCCAGTGGGTTTGTCTCGAAAAACACTTCCAGCAGATTGAACTCGTCGGTGATTTTTGACTCCACCAACAAAGGCGTAAATTCTTTACGTGAAAGTCCGGTTACCTTAAGCTCCCTCATACCAGCGTTAATGCTAATGGCTTCGGCAGCTGGCCGTTGGGTGACCGACGCGGTGGCCATGGAAAAGTTAAGAAGGAGCAGTGACGGCAAGTCATGGAAGTCATTTGTTGCCGCGGAAGAATCACTATCATCCTTGTAGAGGCCGACCTCTAAAGCTATCAGTTTAAAGTTCATCCTGATGGCCTCGTAGCTTTCAGGAAGGTCTGTGGGCTTGGCGTTCTCTTGGTAACCAATGGCTCTGTACATCTTCTCTTTCTCTTCGCTGGTCATTGCCGCTTCGAACTTCTCAACTGAAAATTCGAATTGAAAGATCGTTCTTCAGAAAAATAATTAATTACTTACCAAGCTTTTGACTAGCGGTTTGGTCATCCTTCTTCGCTCCGCCACCCCATCCCCAACCGCTGAACCAACCCGACTTTTCTTCAGGCACTGCCTCGCGATGCTTGGCTATCTCGATGTTGACCCTCTGCCGGATCAGCAGCAAGTTAAATATGTCCAGCTCCGTTTCTAGCAAACGGCATGTTTCCGTAAGCACCGCTGAAGGTTTTTTGCTTAAGCACTGCTCCTTGTATTTCTAAAAAAAATGTGAATTGTGAAGATTCTAGTTTCTTTGATAAAGACATTCCACACACCTGTGCGTAAGTGTTGCAACGTTCTCTGTGGGTTTTCATGTGTCCCCAAGTCCAGCTCTCTCTGGGTTTCCTTACTTCCTCCTCTAGGATAGAAGTTATTGCAAAGTGCCACCAGTCCTTGGCGTGGCCTTTGTAGGCTACAGAATAATACATCAATTTATGGTTAATACCGACTGAAAAAATCAGAGGGTGATCAATACTAACGTAAATTGTGGGGACGATATTTCCGGTAGGGAATGCCCAACTGCTGACGATTCATAGCATCTCCTAGCTTCATGAGATTGTCGAACTGTGTGTTTGTCATGCCGACATTAAGCTTTTCCATTTCCAGGGTGAGATCGATTTTAGGCTTTTCAAATGGCGGATCATCGAGCTCCGGGTTCATGTTTAGCTTTAGCTTGGCATTGCATGAGATAGGACCCAGCACTATAACCACAAGAAAAGATTTAGTGGTTTCTCGCACAGAATTTTAAAATATTACCATAGTTGTAGTTGGGATTCGATTCCTTGCGAGCAATATTCGTTTGGAACTGATTTGAAAGCTCACTTTTGTTGTTCGCGTATAGTTTTCCACCGCAGTTCAAATAGGCGGACAGACATGATAGATTCGCTATTTTGAAAACCTGTGACGCCTGCTGGGCCATGTAGCACTTATTCCAGTCGGAATCGGTAGTGTAAAGTTCCAGCTCATGCAGGGATATGCCGAAGGAGAAGGGACTGCCCGTCGTTGTGGTGTCCTCGTATCGCAGATGAACGTTGGTTATCTGCACCTGCAGATTGTTAACGATCTGTGCCGTTAGCTTTTCGGCAAATCCAGCATCTGCCTTGGGCTGATCTGTGAATGAAGAAAGATGTTATTTATCATTCAAAGCATGAAAAATTAGTTTTGCTTACCCTTTTCCAACTCCTTCTTGCGAGCTGCCTCCAGGGCATCAAGCGCCGCCTTCTTGAGATCCATCTCATATTTCGCCTCCTTTTCGGCATCGTACTGGACATTGTTGTTCGGTGAAACTAAGACATAAAGATCCTCGATGTTGACAATTACCGGCTGGCTGTACAGATTCTTCCAGGGGATCTTAAGCACTAGTTTGCCTGGAAATTGATTAAATTCACACTGTATGAAAACTAAATTCAATTGAAAACTAATTCCTTACTTACCCAAGTAACCGTAGATAAGCTGTACGGGCAGGTCCAACTTGTCCAGGGCATTCTCCCGTATTTTCAGGTTCTGCAAGACCACATCGCCTGCCAAGCAAAGAAAGAATTTGCTTCCATTAGTCTTATCAGTCGCAGTAATCAGTCATTTGCAGAAGTAGGAGCAAATGCCCATTAATTAATTGTTGATTAATTACAAAGCGAGAGCGCAATTCAAAATTTTGTACATGACTAAGGCTGCTATCTTTGGGAAGCACTGTATTAAGTACACAAATGGAAAAAACAGCCGGCGCATCAATATGTCAATACTGTTTACAAACGTGTGGCATTTTGGGCATGCGACATTTTTAGTTAAGTGTTTGTTATGCTTGGAATGCAAAATGGGCAGTACAATCAGTGAATATCTATTGAATTACGCATGTGGGTCAATAGTTTAACGACCAAGCGACCTCTTTAAAGTTATCCCACATTTACGGCAAGCTGACTCGCACTGATAGGCACATGTCTGGCCTTACTTTACGAACTTCATATCTGGCCAATAATAATAATTCAACATCTGCCGTTCAATTATCGATATTCAACACAAGAGTATTTTTATATATTGCTCTGATAACAGTGTTCTAACAACTGATTAAGGAATAAAGCTTTAATAAACAAGAAGAGTCATTTACCTGATTGTTTTTACATTTGACATTACAGTATTATTCAAAATATTTAGGTATTGAAATAGTATAAAAAACAGTAATTTATAGCCAAATGACATCTATCTTCGTTAGATACAGAAGCATTAGCGCAGTCTTCCTTCCTTAAAGCATATCTGGATGAAATAGTTTAAAACCAAATGCTAATTAACATGATTTATGCGAAGCATTATGTCACCAAGTTAAAGATCAGCCGACATAAAACAGACTTGTCGCCGAATGTTACCCGCGATCTCAGTCAGTTATCTTTGAACAAACTCGTTTACTTGGTTTGTCGCAAACTGGTCTGCGTCATATGGGATTCACACCTCATCTAAAAAGACCATCTCACATATATGGTCTGAAATGCCGGGATTCCAATGGTGGGAAGTCAGACCCAAGAATTGTGTACGTTTTACACAGACATTTGATATATGAAAGTAAATCTGTACATGAAAGATAAATAGGCAGCGAGGAGCAAAGAGAAACCACAAGAATTGCTCATCGCACAGCGAGATGCAACAGTTGTCCCACCCGAATACTTCTCGCTTGTTTCTTTCCGAAGAATTCATTGGGTTCGCATGAAATTGCGAATACGGTTCATTTAGAAACGTACATATACGTTTGCCGCGACGGAATTAGGTCATTAAAAGCAAATTGCCAAGGATAAGGTCACCGTCATCATTGTTTTTTCGGGCTACTTGCGTGCAAATAGACCAATCAACAATGGGTACCGCAGTAAAATGATGGATTTGCGTAAGGGTGGAGCAGAATGTTGTCATCCTCTCCGGGGAACTGGAACTCACCTCCCCAAATGCCAATCTTCAGCTGGTTGCGATCCAAGTTCTCGATGTAGTCGCCGAGCACCTTGTTCAGCACATCCGCCACCACCGCCTCGAAGACCATTGTGTCCAAGCAGTTGCTCCTATTGATTTTCCTCCAAGTTTTTGGTTGTTATTCCAATTGATGTGGTCGGGGTGTGTGCTTCAAACAATCTGACGTACACAGTGCGGTCTATAGTTGTTCTAAAATACATGCACATGTAAACACAGAAACCAAACAGATGGAACGGAGAGGCGGATTAAAACACAATGTCGATGATGTCATCGCAAAACGCATTTCGATTGTTTTGGCACAATCCGCCAGACCCAGTGCTTCAAAAAACTGACAAGCAAAACGATTGTCTAGGGCGAACTGGAGCAGGTCATATTAATTCACTACTCCCACTCCGGAGCACGTGTGCATCGAAAGGTCTTATCGTTATTTACTGCACCCAATTACCAGCGGCATTTCCACCCGACTAAAAGATGTTTCTCCGTGAGATGCGCGTTCTTTGAATGCTCGCCCGAAACTAATAGCTGTTGCGATAGCATTCATGACCAGGACGCTCAATCAGCTGTTCGCTCGCGTTTCCGAGCGAATGGCAAGCTGTTAGGTGACGTGTTTTGCCGTGCAAGCTGAGCTATACAATAAATATTTTTATAAAACACCATGCAAACAAGACTTGTTTTGGTACTGCTAGCCCTGGCCCCGCTCGTCCTGGCCAAGAAGTTCAAGGAGGAGGACAAACCGGCGTGGGCCAAGAAGGATATTCGAGACTACAGCGAGGCGGACCTGGAGCGTCTGCTGGACCAATGGGAGGTGGGTAAAACTGCGATCGGGGAGCGACACAATGATATCAACCCTTCAGATGTCCTCCTAATTAAGGAAAATTTCCCTACCATTCGTAGTTAAGGTTAACTTATTTAAATCTTCTCTTAGGAAGATGAAGAGCCCCTTGAGGATGATGAGCTACCTGAGCACCTGCGCCCCCAGCCCAAATTGGATCTGAGCAATCTGGACAGCAAGAGCCCCGAAGACCTTCTCAAGGTATCCAAAAAGGGACGCACGCTGATGACCTTCGTTTCGGTGACCGGCAATCCAACCCGGGAGGAGAGCGACACCATCACCAAGCTGTGGCAGACCAGTCTCTGGAACAACCACATCCAGGCGGAGCGCTACATGGTCGACGATAACCGCGCCATCTTCCTCTTCAAGGATGGCACACAAGCCTGGGACGCCAAGGACTTTCTCATCGAACAGGAACGCTGCAAGGGCGTAACCATCGAGAACAAGGAGTACCCGGGTGTCCACGCCAAGAAGGACGAACTGTAGGCCAGTTGCACGACTTCTTAAAAACATTCTCAAGCTCTCAAGTATTTACTATTTAAGCTCAAAGTTGAACAAATTTAAATAAATCGAACTTATTAAAGAAGCTGTTTTGCTTGGCCATTCACTGGGAAACGGCGCTGCTTGCTGCCAATAACTAGGGTTGGAAGCACAAAACGTGACGCTTAAAATTATTAATAGTAATATTTTTAAATCATTTTCATTTTCTTAGATGAAATATTTACACTACTTTTTGTGTCAAACTCAAAACAAAATAAATGACAAATTTAAAGAAGACCCCAAATTAAACGACAGCTAAGTGTTGCGCTGACAAACTCCAAAACTCACGGTGCCATCTGCAGACTTATCGTATCGCCTTTCAAATGTTCCGAGCTCCAGCTCCCCTCTGTGTGACCTTAAGTCAACAAGACGCCGCCCGCGAACCGCGACGTGCTCCACTTGCTCCGCCTGCTGAGTAGCTGTTCTAAGAAGATGTCCGTTCAACCCAAGATCGGTCCCAGCATTCTTAATGCGGATTTATCCAATCTGGCGGCGGAGTCGCAAAAGCTACTGGACAATGGAGCGGACTACCTGCATCTGGACGTGATGGACGGCACTTTCGTGCCGAATCTTACCTTCGGTCACCCCATGGTCAAGAGCTTGCGCAACAAGATCAAGGTGAGTTTGCTGTCGTCTGAGCAAGATATCCAATTACCTATCCCACAACCTCTTATAGACGGCCTTTTTCGAGACGCACATGATGGTCCAGAATCCGGAGCAGTGGATAGAGCCCATGGCCGATGCGGGTGTCAATCTTTACACCTTCCACGTCGAGCCGGTGCAGGATGTGGTCAGGGTCAGTCGCCAAGTGCGGGAGTCCGGCATGAAGGTGGGCCTTGCCATTAAGCCGGGCACTGAGGTAAGTTGAGGTTAGGGTTATATCACTTTTGCTATAGCCACAGGTTGTTGCTTGCTGAATTTTATTTATTTGGAATTATACATCATTTTGATAATTCCACCAGCTACACTTTAATGTTATAGTCAGTAATCACAAGCTAGGACTGCGTTTCCTTAATAATTTGCAAGATATCAAATGAGTAACCACATTTTGCACTGACCTTACAGGTACAGGATCTGGAGAAGTACGTGAGCATTGCCGACGTTGTGCTGGTGATGACCGTGGAGCCTGGTTTTGGCGGACAGTCCTTCATGGCCGATATGATGCCGAAGGTGAAGTGGCTGCGCGATAACTACCCTAGCCTGGACATCGAGGTGGACGGAGGAGTGGGACCCAAAACCATACACTGCTGTGCCGAGGCCGGAGCCAACATGATCGTTTCGGGAACCGCCGTGGTGGGCGCCTCCGATCAGGCGCAGGTCATCAAGGAAATGCGCGATGTGGTGCGCAGCTACCTCAAATAGAGATGCATTTACCAGCTTAAGGATCCCTAGCTTAAGGAAGAATTTATTAGATAGGCGAATAGTTTTGACAAAATTGCAACTGCAAGTGATTGCGGTTCTCTTGAAAAACTACTATTAAAAGAAATTTCCAACCGTATATGGTTTCATACATTTATTTTTTAACATTTATATAATATATGTTCGTAGGTATATATCATGTTTGGTATGACATGTTGCTTTTAGCATTTAGTTGGTTATACGTGTCTGTGTGTACTTTATGTAGTTACATTTAGGTTACTGCACTTTCCCAGTTATTGTCGGACATTGGCCAAATGCCGTCTTTATTGTCATGGTTTCCCTCTCTGTGTTTTCAAAAATAAATGTTCAACAATATTGTTCGAATCGCGTCAAAACTTCAGATCTGTATGTAAAACTCTTCATAAATTCTCAATGCCTCCGATGCGCTGGTCCAGCTCACAGGAAAAAGTTCAGTTTGTCTTTATTGTCAAAGTTTGTTATTGTAAATTCTTCACAAAGTTCCGTCTGTGCATAGATAACAAGTGCTTTTCATCAAATGATCATCTTTAAACATTTACATATAATATTCTGATACGTGAGTACATATAGCATGCTTCATTATTATGCGCGACACATGTAAATTCAACTAGTTTTTAATCAGCTTCTGGTTTTGGATTTTGCTACACATAACTTTTCGCTACAAATTCTTGTGTTTTTTGTTTTTTAGGGCTTGTTTTTATGTAGTGTCCTCCATGCACATGGAGCATGCGAAACTGAATCGAATCCCTGGGGCGATCCCCATTAAGCGCAGAATTTCAACTAGGATGTGCGATTCTGAGTTTGAGTGTCAACTGTTTGCGTATTGTACTTAGTAATTATCTATTCTGCTATTTATGCCGCGTGTAAATTATTTCACTCACTCCAATCGCCAATGCTAAGCATTTTACATCTACAATATATATAATATATGGGTTGTGTTTCGATTTAGACTAAATGTACATAAAGCTAAGCGTTTTGATAGTAGCCTGGAGCATGGAGCATGGGGTGTATAAAAATAGCTCGCCATGATCCGAATGATCGTAAATGCACAAGGAGAGTGAACCCCAGAAAACTGAAAGGGTGAAAGGGTGGCTTACTGTCCAAGGCAACAGCAAAGGAGTCTTGCCTGAGTTCAAACACAAACTATATCCATCCGATGTGGTCCTGAAATCTCCAGTGATTTCACGCCCTTGCATCTGAAGCTTATGAAATACATTACTTTACTATTTCAGACTCGCTTGGTAGTAAAACCGCTGCGAGTTTCAGGAAAACACGGACTTGTGTTGATGCACTGCACGATATCGTATTAAGCATAGTTTCTATGATATGGGTATATCTTTATAAGTTTGTATTGTCCTGGATCTGTCCTCTGTCATTACAGCTAGTATGCTCGATCTACAACAGCCCACAGATTTGTCTCGAGTATAATCTAAGCTTTCCACTTTTCGCTTGATAATATGCATGTATAAATTTAGACACCATCACATCTGCTTAAAAGCTAGCACTACAATATATATATAGAATATATGTATCCGTTATATGTATATTTCTTGTATATATTTCAGTTACATATTGGTTTGTGTTCATGTTCCGCCTAAAACATCGTGTGCCTTGTGTAATATGCGCTTCATTTAACCCCCCGTTAAGACTAATAATACTTTTCCACTTGTAAACTGATTGTACAAAACATGCATATATATTGGTAGGCATAATATGTCCAACTAGATCTAGTAGTGATCGGTTATACATTTGCAATCTCATTTTAAAGCATTTCAACAGGTTTACGCTAGAAACTAGAAACGATAAGTCAAAAACATGGAGCTCCTGGAGTTCCGACCCACTTCGGGTTCCTGTTCCGGTTCCGACTCAAAAACAATATCAAAGCTGTACACATCGCGAAGCTCTGGTGTGTTTGTGTGTTTTGTGTGTTGAAACAACCGATTTTGAGTCTTTAGTTACGCGTATTTTACATTTATTACGTGCGATTCCTCTGCAAAATAGTTGTGCCTACGAGTCTGCACTCAAGCATTATATCTTCCAGATGGCACACCTGGGATATGGATGGGTGAGTAGAGATCGAAATCAGGGCTTTACCTCGAGCTTCGACTTAAGCGGCCAGTCTAAGTGGGCGTGACAAACGAGGTGCGTTGGCGTGTAAATAGTTCTAAATATTAAGTTACATTCACATGTCCACTATCGAAGCGAGTATACCTTTTGTAGATCACCGCGTAAATAGTCGATTCGTATGCTATGTGTATAAGTATATTCCTTCTAATCCCCACTCTGATCTGACATCTGCCAGACGAAACGATGTCCCTTTCGGTTGTGTTCTTTAAAGCTGAAACCCACGCATTGTAGTTATTATTTTCATGACTTATATCTAACGCATTTAGTTGCTTATTGTGCACATTTCATTATTGTCAACTGCACTTTCTTATTGTTGTTTTTTGTTAGATTCATTGTTGTAAGACAGCATATTTGGGTTTGGTGAAGAGCCTAATGCTACGTCCATCAAATGCCCAAGATCAGCAATGATTCCTTGATTTCTTTGGTTTGGTTATAGTTACACATTTCTACAATTGATTTGCTTATTTCCTGTTTTAAATTTCAACACTCAATAGCTGGGATTCTACTAATTATACTTCACAATATTTTTCTGCATTCTTCTTCGATTATCATAATTTTTCGTTTGGAGTAATACTTATAATAGTACGGGGTTCGTTTCCACCGGAACCTTTCAACACAAAATTCAGCTACAAAATTGAATTATATTCTGGGTTTCGGGGTATTTAGACACAATTATCAATTAGTTAGATATCGGGTACATGACGGTTATTTTCCTTTTACGTGTTACGTGTTATGTATATATAAATAGCTTTTGCAATATGTATTGACATATGTCTGCACCCCCTTTTCTGTTTGTCTGGGTTATAAAATGTCTGGGGCTTAGGTTCATAAAAATCTCTTTGTAAAAAAATTGACAAATAAATTCGGCAAATTGACACATGATTATGTTGCCCAAATCGGTACTAGCCGGTTGGCTAATACCCTAAGTTCAGTAGCAAAATATATGTATGCATCCTACAGGATCCATCGGTTCCATGTGACTTTCGTAATTTGTGCAATTGTTTCATGGATATGCTATGTTCCAGTTAGGCCTGACTGTATCTCTTTTTAAAGAGTCTTACTGAGCCGTGGCCAGGCTTAATTTTTGGACGACGTCCTGGAATGAGTGTAGTGGTGTGTACCCTCACGCATCGGGTCAGTGGCTATTTTGGATAGTATGTCGGGTCCTCCCGGATGCAGGTCGTACTTGTTAACGCGGTCCTCTTTAATGGGACGGGAATGCTTGGCGATCTGCTCCTGTATCCAAGGCACATACTGCACCACGTTGGCATACACGCCCGGCAAGCGGGGATGCGCACACATAATGCCCCAGGAGACTATGCCGCCCACGAACCAGCGATTCTTCTCCCCTGGATACGGACACAACAGCGGACCGCCCGAATCCCCCTGGTATTTGGGTTAGATTTTTTCTCAGATATACGGTCAGGAAGTGAATAATATCTCCTACCTGACAGGCATCCTTGCCTCCGTCATCGAAACCGGCACAGACCATGCCCTCCGACACCGTCAGGTTGTCCAGCCATTCGTCGCACTGATTACGCGTGATGATGGGTACTTGCACCTCGTTTACTATGTACTCATATGTGGACTTGGCTGTGGAACAAGGGAGAGTGATTAGTCTTGCGTAACCCGGAAATTTGACGTAAATTGGACTCACGGTCCTTGTCCTCCCGCTTCCCCCATCCGATGACGGTGCACAGGGTCCCAGGATGTAGATTCCTCACGCTTGGTGGCGGCAAACATACGGGCAATAGGTGTTCGTGGAAGGCAACGCGCGTAGCAAGCTGGAAATGTATTAAATGTATTAGAAACCAAAGGACTTTCTTAAAGATTTCCTCACTTGGAAGAGGGCTATGTCGTTGTCGTGGGCAATGGCCATGTTGTATTGCGGATGCGGGATTACAGCCTTGACTTTGACCTTCTGACCCGAGTAGGTGAATGAGTTGCGACGAGTGACGCCCAGCTGAATGGTCCAGTCCTCCAAGTCGATCACGCTATAGCTGTCAAGCAAGTACCTTCATTAGTGGCCAACATATTATCATGCCTAGAATTCAACTAACTTTCCCACGCAGTGTGAGGCTGTGAGCACCCATTGATCCGATATTAGGACGCCAGCGCAGTAGAAAATCTTCTCCGGACCGCCCAAAATTGCAGCCAGGAATGGCCAATTGCCGGGACTGGCTTGGGTTCCGCCAATGATGCGTCTGGATGGCTTGTGTCTACCCCGCTTTACTCGGCCGCACTCTAAAGTAATGGATAATGAGATAGTGAGAGCCTGTCGCTGATTTCCACCCAGAGCCACTCACCGTAATTGGAGCACGTTAGATCGGCCATCGGATAATCCTCCGTCTTCTTGCAGTTGGCAAACTCTTGCATCAGGGTCGACTTTCTTTTAGCGTACATTTTCCAAATGTCTGTGGACACATTTACCGTGGCCAGCAGTGGGCGGTGAGTAAGTTGGGTCAGGACACTGGTGGCATTCACGGCCGAGTAGCCCAGAATGGAACACACGGCGCTGGGCGATACTGCACGATCCCAGTTCTTCACACACGCGGGCATCCACTGCCGCTGGCCGATGCGGTAGACCTCCAAAACCCCGGTGCCCACATCGCCGTTCCGCTCACTGAGCCTCACTAAGCCGGATTGGTGAAAATAGTTAGGTCGTAGCAAGAACCAAGAAGCCTTTACTTACAGCAGTTGCGCTCATCCTGGCCATAGGGGCAATCGATGATGCCGTCGCATATGTGCTTGGTTCCAATGCACTGGCTGTCGCCGCAGTAGATCTCGTCTGGTCCGCACCGCTCGCACTTGGCCTCGTCTGCCTGGTCCATGCAGTCCAGGTGGCCGTCGCACACGTACTCCTGCGGCAGACAACGGTTCTGGTCGCACTGGAACCCATCACACTTGGGATGCGTAGCGGCCCTCATCACCTCGCGAACCTCATCCAACCCCACGCAGTCCTCGGAACTCGGAAAGTCCTTGAAGAGCTTGCAGTTCAGGTACTCGGGCAGGCTCAGTCCGAAAACGTCGAAGAAGAAGCCGCAGCGGCGCATCGTCTCCGTACAGAGGGTCTTACATGGTGGCACGGTGGCCCTATGCGAATATGTGACCATCATTACTTTATATAGGGAAAAAATTGCAAGCCTACCCGCTCTGTCCGCACTTGGGAACGAAAAGCGTGCAGAGAAACAGGGACACCAGCTCGTAACATCTCACATCCACCAGGGCCTCATAGGAGTCCAAGTCCTGCAAAGAACCGGAGTCAGCGGAATAATGTGCTATCCTGTATATCATAACTACCGTTTGCGTCTCCAACTGGCCGAAGTGGCCGATATAGTTGGGGAACACGGTGTAGTTGTAGGGAATCCGGGGACCTTGGCAAAATCGCACAATGATTGGAAGGCAGGTGCCTGGGGCTGGATTCTTGCCAAAACTTGTGGTGTCCTCCACGTGGATCGTGTTGATGATAGTCTTGTTCACGAACTTTATAGTCGGATATGCATTGAAGTAGGCAGCCAGACCTCCGGCGATAGCCAGCAGGGCAAAGGCGTTGATCAGGATCTGGAACAGGCGGAACTTTAGGCGGCCGTTTGTGATGTACGGGTTGGAGCTCTTGCGCCGGTTAATAATCTGTAATGGTAGGTAAGATATAACCATTGATATACATTATTTTGCAAAACTAAAGTTTTACCTGGTGCTGCAAGGACATGGTGTGCGGTGCTCCATTTTGAAAGCGGACGATGGTCTGCAGGCTGCCGGGCTGGCCAGCTGCCTTATGAAGTGGCGAGATCGTCTGCGGCGGTTCCAGCTCCTCGATGGGCTCGTGCTGCACTCCCTGACGGCACACGATCGGGGCTGGTGCTGAAAGGGCAGAGAGTCCTATGACAAAGCTCCCGGGCTTGGAGGAAGCACTTGTACTCACCACTGCACAGCCGTTTGGCGGACAACGAGGGCAGCAGCGGCGCCTCCATGAGCTTGGGATTGTAGCCTGGACTGGACGTCTGGCTAAAGCTGTCGCTGGAGATGGTCGAATCCTGCCGAAAGTTGATCTTGCTCCTTGGTGGCGGCATTGCGGGAGCTGACTTGCCGCTTCCGCTTCCGCGTCCTCCGCCGCCGCTCAGAAAGCGGGTGGGGGCCAAATCCATGAGCGGAGTTTGGCGCTGCGCGGTGCCGGGTGCGTTGGACTTACGCCCTCCTTGTTGGGAGCCCAGCAGTGGCGCTTCCATGAGCTTGGAGTTGTAGCCCGGACTGGAGCTGATCGAGTAGCTATCGCTGGAGAGCGTGGAATCCTGGCGCTGTTGCATCCGAGGGTACGTAATTGGCGGCGGTTTATTGCGCCCGAGTTTATTCCGCACAGTCAACGGAGGCGGCGGGTGACCGCGCGATCCCATCTCCCCGGGATCAAACACATTTGCCTGCCGTAATGGTGGCTCTGGTGGACCTGGACGTTTGGTAATGGAATCTGTGGGCGGCACAACGGCTGGACATGGCCCAGACAAAGATGACATGGTGCCGCTGGAGATAGTGCTGGATCCTGCTGAGGCGGCGGACGAAGTGGAGGCCGAGGCCGAGACACTGCTGGGTTCCTTGGAGCTCTGGGACTGCTGGGACTGGGTTTCGCCGGTCGAGTTGTTGCTTTTGCTGCAACCCTTCGCTGACGGAGGCTGCTTCCTGGCGGGAACCACCGGTAGCTTGGAACCATCGCTTCCCACACTACTGCTGTTGTTGTTATTGCTGGCCGAGTCAAGGGCAAGTCCCAGACTGGTGTTATTGTTGTTCAGCTTATGCATGGCATCGTTGAGCACAGCACGTTCCCTGTACGCCTCCCTGGGATCTCTGGGATCTCTGGCCAGCGGCGAGTCAATCGAACTGGACAGAGGCTTCTCATCGAGCGAGGACTGAGTGTCCACCGAGGAAAAGCGGCTGCGAAAGTCCACGCTAGTCGAGCTGCTGGCGAACCGCTCGCTGTGGCCGCCCAGCGATGAGCCGTAGGCGGAATCCACGGTGCTGCTGGAGGAGCGCTGCGCCCGCTTGGCCATGTGACTTAGCCCGGCATAGCGCCCGGTCAAATAACCGGCGACCTTAACGGGCGTGGAGGTTAGCGACTCGTCGAACACGGAGTTCTCCAAACTCATGCGGTCGTCATCGGAAATCCCATCGGCATCCGCATATCCGGACGCCGGACGTGTGGCTATGTCAACAAGCAGTGCTGATTGCAGCCCGGCACCTCCCCCATGTCCGTCGCCCGATCCCCGGACCACTGCCTCTGCGGTCACGTTTTCTGGCTGCGGATAAACAAACACAGTGCCCGTGCCGTGGGCGCTATCCTGTCCGCCGGCCGAGAGTGGAAGTGGGTGGGGACTCGACGCCTGCCAGGCGGACTTGCCGCGCAGAGGACGCCGTGGAATGGGAGGCGGGGGCGTCACTGGGGTGTCCACCCGCACCAAGTGCTGCTGGTGGTGGTGCTGGTGCTGGTGCTGATGGAGCTGCCTTCCTCCCGCGATGGCCCCCTGGTGCGCTGACTGGCCATATTTCTGCTCCGTCATGTTTACCTGCCAGCGGAAAATGGGAAAATTCTAGGTAAAAGGACTCACAGAAGGAAATGGAACGTTGCATGATTGAATGTCGAAGAACAAACATGCATATGACTAGTTTTTACGGAACTTGTGTATAATTAAACTGGGCACTGTGTAAAAACTGCCTATGATGACTAACTTATAAAGTATAAATATGAAATATTTAAAGCAGATGATGTAACTTAAAAATGCTCATATAAGGAAACAGGAAATATAATTTCTTATCTAATAATTAAAAGAATTTAGCTGTTAGCAAACATAATACTTATGTATATAATATTCTGGCGATAGAAACCATTTTCCACTGTAATGATGCTCCACTGTGGCAGTATTATCCAGCAGCAATATTCTGCAATTTAAGCCCCAGCCAGGTGCAGAGGATGAAGTGGGGCAGGACTAAGCCCTCGCTAAGCCGGGCGCAGAAATTCTGACGCGCAGGAAATAACTCGGGGGGATTTGATGCCAGGTCCCCGCTTCAAAATGAATCGGGAACAGGCAAGTGGTTTTGGCTGCCCTCCACATCGATATCTTGAGTCATGCAAAGCCAAACTATAGCTAATCCCTTCTCTGCCCTTCACTCCAAGCTCTTGACTGGCAACGCCAGTCGAATAACCCGAACAAGGATGAGCATGGAATTAAATTTGAATACTGTATCCTTGAAGTTTCCAAACTATGGAAGTTTTTTGAAATTTCTGCTTTGTTTACTCCTACATGAAAAGTGCAATTGAAGGATTATTTATTTTTGTGGATGCCGCAGAGGAAATTTCTCATTAAGGTCAGTTTTATGTACATTCGTTGATACCATTTTCTTTTGCTTTTCGCAGCTCTCATTTCCATAGTCAAAAAGTTTAAGTATATTCATTTCCTTACGTATTAAATTTTCACAAAAGTGCAGTTCGCTTGAAATGAAGAAGCGGATTCGTATTTATAGTACTTCCCCACTAGGCTTGAAGTGCTATTTCAAGAGTACCCTCCCCAAACAAGTTTTGGATCATCTTTAAAGCTTACTTCCGGATTTATGATTCAAAATTTAAAATATTTGTTCTTAAATCTGATATTTAGAGGGCACTGGATATCTGGGTGAAGTAGTTATACTTGTCTACGAAATTGCACCTAAAGTATCGGTTGGTAAAACAAAACCAGTTTTATGACTTTCAGCACAGGGAACCATACATCTAGTGCGGATTGGCCTACTCACAAGCATTTCGGTGGCTGCCTGGGGCAGCTGCGACGGCTTCTGCTTGTCCTCGAGCATGGGATAGTAGTGGGAGGAGTGGCGCCGCACGATGCTGTTGCTGCTGGAGAGGCTGCTGCTCTCACTGATGTTGCCGGAGTGGCTGGGCAGCGGCAGCAGGGTGACGGACTTGCACTGCTCCTGCTGCTTGTCGTAGAAGTCCAGCAGCGAGTTGAGGGGCAGCGCCAGGCTGGAGGCGCGCTCTGATCTGGAAAGATGGTTCAGTGGGCATCATCTGGCATTTGAGTGGTGCGGCACACTTACCTTGAGCGACTCCGCTGGTCCGCTACCGAGGTCTGATGCTGATGGTCCTGGGAGACGCTCAGAAATTGTTTATTCATATCGAGTGCGTTCATGGCTTAATCGCGTGGTATTTCGAAGTCAATCTGCAAAGGAGAACCGGATAGGATTTGTCAGGTTGTGTTTTTCGCCGGCCGTGTACATGCCGTGCATATCGAAAGAGGACTGCTCCATGCGGCACACTAAATGCCCCCGCAGACCAGAATGATACCGGTCATGCAAATAGCTGCGGGGCCTTTTGGCCACAGGAATCCAAATCAATTACTCAATGGCCCCCACTCACACACTCACACACCCACACACTCGCAACCCGGCACGTGACAATAGATCCCACAAAAGTCGAAATAAATGCAGTGTACTCGTACATACGTATAGTATGTGCGGTGGGCATATTGATGCCATCGGAATCGGGCCAAGCAATTTAGTCTTTTGTGTCTAATGGATGCCATTAGTCGGCTCGCAGCACAATGGACCCCGCATGCGGCTTATAATATGTGGCCAAAAGCCGGTTCGAAGCGAATTTAACCACTCTGCTCCATAGACGGCACAATTGGAGACGAGTTCACTACCCCTGGGTTTCCCTGCACGGCTAAATTAAGTTAATCGGCAGTGGAAAATACTGTGCAGAAACATTCATAAGCTGTTCCATAATATTGTTGGCAGCTGTATTAAATTAAATTACGGACCTCAGTTTGCTTCCTGTTGGTGTGGTGTTTAGCTTAATAAATATACAACTTTTTAAATAATCTTATTATTTTAAAGCGGTGGCTGTTCAACAACTTGTCAGCTTATAGAGCCATGTTCAAGAGCGTGCTACTATGACCTACTTAAATCGGCCGCATGGATGCGAGCGAGCATCATGTTTCGGGAGTAGGAGAAGGCAGTCGTCAACAGGTAGAAAAACGCATGGCAAAGTTACCGAGAAAAATAAAAGCTCGCACCCACCCACAAGCGCCACGCCCACCGACGAGCCTCACGTGGTCGGCGGCAGAGGTCGGAGGTCAGGCGCCGGAGATCGCAATGTGTCAAGGACGTATATTGACACTAATCCTGTCCAATCAGCTCGCAGAGGTGAGGCCTTTGAGCCCAAGTGCAGGTGTGCAAGTGAGCATGTTTCCCAGAAATGCGGACATACCTTTACGCCCCAATTAGGTTCAATCAACGTGTCAAGTTGGCCAAAGCGGAGCCTAAGTGGCTTCTAAGTTGGGGGAACTCATTTCTCTTCTAATGCCAGTTACAGGTTGTTCATTTAACGGTTAACTTTTAGTGACACTTCTGTGTTAGTTCTGCATCAATTGATGCTCCTTAGTAAAGTTAAACAGTCCGATAACTTTTGTATAGTTCTATACTATACGGATTCTGCTTTTAATATGAGTAATCAATCATCAGTTACCTGAAGGAGCTCGATAAACACCCTGCTAAATCCCTATAATTGTGCTGGCTTTGAGTTTCCAAATCCTATAGCTGTTTTTTCAGGAACAATATCTTCGAATTGCTTCGATTCAAATATAAATGCAGAGAACGTACGTACATGCGTGGAAAAAAGAGATGGTAGGAGAAATTTATAATTAAGCAATTCATTACACAATCGATACTCGAATACTGCCAAGACAATAGCCTCTAACTATATTGGAGAGAAGACCAATCACGTTTGCCAGTTAACGAACTATGGCCCTAACTTGTTTTCAAACTCTTGCCCAGATCATAATCGTTTATGGCAATTATACTTACGCGGCTGTGCTAACAATCAAGCATTTGACCTTCCAGCACTTTATCAGGGCAAATATCCAGCCGCAGATGGGTATGCATAGAGTGCTCCTATTAGGGTCCACAATTCCGGGGACCGTCGAGGAGAGGATAAACACACAAATTCTATTTGCTCGGCATTTGTATGCTGAACACCAATTCCAAGCTCACATGAACCATAAATTGTTTGCATTTGTGTCGGCCCAATCCCCATCTTCGCCTCTCCAGCAATTTTGGCAGCAAATTCAGCAGCAAACTCGCATCACAAGAGCATACCCACTCGGAAACAGGAATGGGAAAATCAAAGACGGGTCTACGGGGCTTTTAAATTGTATTAACTCGAAGGCAGACGTCGAGTAGTCCTGTTGCCGGGCATTTGAATTTAAGGTTATTACCCAAATTGTTGGCGCATTTGTTGGCGCCAAGTGTCAGCTACTCAAATTCCAATCACAAATCTGAAATCTCGGCCCTGTCACAAGGAAAAAAAGGTTAAAATTCCAATCCAGTCCAGCCGAAGTACTGGTTCCCGTGCTCAACTGCTGATTGCGATTGCTTTGGTAAACAGTATTAAGTATACGCCCGGTGGTCCATAGAAATATTTGCCCAATGCTGGCGCACAAAATTACACATTGCGTATGGAAATGGAAATGGCAATAGCAACGGCATTGGCATTCCGAGTTAATCAGAACCCAGTTAAATACGGGCCTGCAGGACTTCAGAGTTTTCCCAGAAGATTACCAGAGTCAATTTGAACTGGGCAGTGAAAGACCATTCTAGATTCCTGGACTTGCGGCTGGCATTCCCCTTAAGCAGTTTGCTTTTGAATTCCTCGCATTACGCAATGAACTCAGCTAGGCAGCCACTTGGCCTCCATCTTCGATATTAAAAATAGAGGATTGGGCATAATCAATCTTTCAAAGGTCTATGTAGCCAGGCACACACATACTGAATTGAAAGGAAATCATTAAAAATGGGCCACATGAGTCATACTTATATAAGCCATGAGCCAATTACAGTGTCTGCCGGACATCTTTCGCTCTTTCCAGTGGTCCAATCAGCCCCTTGGTATGGAAAGCGAAGTGTGCAGTTCATATGGTGCCGGCCAAATTCAAATGCCAAGACGGAGTCCTAGGAATTTCATTACAAAAACATTCTGGTCAGGCAGCAGTAAAAGGAATGTGTGAGACCCTCGAGCTTCGAGCTTCCTTGAATTTTTGTTGGCGGCAATTTTTGCACGCTCTTGGCCTTACAATTACAATTACAATTTAAGTTTTTGACCCCTTACTGGTTGTGATTGTATCTTCTCAGAAATCATGAACCTATAAATAAATTCACAATCTTAATTATATACAATATTTAGCAATCTTTGGAACTGTATACTGGAAAATGAACGACCTGAGGATCATCGTCGCGGCGGAAGGTCGTTGCGGCGAGGACGGGATCGGTCACAAACCCGCGTTAGACTTTTCGCAAGCCCTTTGCATGATATTAAACTACTTATTATTCCTGTCACTTCCCCATAGTTGGCAGTTTGGTTTTCATACAGAATTATAGAGTAAGACACTGTAGAGGGATTCGACTCCAAGTAACTTCATTTGCTTTCGGAAGTCAGTGTTGTTTAAGGTGATCACATGTCACATGCTTACATTTTTGTTCTTTTCTTTTTTTTTTGATTCGTCAGTCAGATACCCACTTCTCCACGACCACATAGTGACAGTGCAGAGTTGTTGCTTGTACAGGGAATTTGGATTGACTTAAAAACGCTGTTTCGTCGGCAAATGTAGAAGTCGTTAGTAGTCTGCTATATAAAGGACGTACAGCGTAGACTCTTTTGTAGAGATACAATTTCAGGAGTTCGTGGTTGTTTTGGAGAAGCATTGTTTTAGTTTTGAACTTTAAACCATATAGCCAAAAGTTATTAAAAGCCTGAGAGCCACCAAAAAAAATCATTTTCTTCGAAAGCAGTTCGTGTAGTGCGCAGGGAAATAGTGCATACTGTACAGTATTTGTCTTAGGAGTTATAAGATCACATCATGGCGATTTTCCCGGAATAAGTTGATTCTTTATAAATTTCTCTATTTCATCCGCTCGAAACACGATTGGCTCATGTGGTGCTTGGTCGCAGTCCATTACCGACGCGTTGGTAATAAAAACCAATTTTCAGCAGGGTCCGGATGGCACACTAGATGAAGGTGCGGTACAAATGCGTTAGCTCTGTGTTTGAGATAGTCCCTGCTGGTGTTGCTGAACTGGGATGAGCTTTTTACTACTTCATGTTGAAAGGAGCTCTCTAGCGACATTAGGCGTTTTTATCTTCTTGCTTCAGTGCATTGGAGAGTTCACATGAAGCATTTTTATACCCGTTACTCGTAGAGTAAAATGGTATACTATAAGTGTGTCCGAAGTATATATAGTCTTGATCAGAATCAAGACGATTCCCGAAACGATCTGGCCATATCCTTTTTAAATATTTTTTTATTTTTTTATTAGTCTTGTAAATGTACAATAATTTGCCAAAAATCTTCTTGCCACGCCCACACGTTTGAAAAAAATTTTAATTTATTTTAATAATGTTTTTTTTTTTTGGCAATGTTTTACCGATATTCCAGAAAATGAAGAAATTTCTCGATTGCACTTTCACTAGTTGAGTAACGGGTATCTGATAGTCGGGGAACTCGACTATAGCATTCTAACTTGTTTAATCTTTGCTTCGCGATTGACGAAATATGAAGCACCGTCAGGCAAATCGAACAAACTTTTGAATTATGTAGCATACTTATTGCGCCCCCGCAGGCAGCCATATTAGGTATGCACAGTCGATACGCAGACAAGCTGGATACCCACCCAAACTCATTGGCTAGTGGTCTCGCCAGTCCTCTTCCCCTCCGACGTCTGAAGAGAACCCACCCCACTAATCAGCCTACACTTATTATTTTCTAAGCGTTCAAATATTCCTAAATAACTTATAAATGTAATCTAGTTAAGGCTCTTTGCACCATACTCTAACATTTCATCTTCTTGGTCCGGTTATGTTGAGAAGGCACTGAACGATTTCGGCGGAAATAGATTTATAAAAAAAAGCGAGCATTTAACAACGAGCAGCTTAGCCTAACTTAACATCAAAGGATGTTCGCATGGCAGAGTGGTGACCTTAATTAACTTAGAGCATTGTGTTACATTATAGGGAAATAACAAATGACGGATGTTGTGTGGTATTACGTACACGCTCGGTTAACACCTGCCTAAGGGCTCTACGGCTCAGTTGTTAGAAAGGACTACAAAATATGATGTGCAGGGGAACATACATCCGACCTTCTCGGAATTTTCCACTGGTCTTGCG